ATGGTCCAACGGTGTACTGGAACGGTGATCCATAAATATGAGAGTCTTTATGCATAACGGATAGGTGATGGATACCTTCCATTTTTGGGAAGAATCTAAAAAAGAAGAAAGTCTGAGGCGGGAAACCCCTAGACTGACCTCCACTTGTTCTTTATTCATAAAACTATGAACAGATTTTTGCAAAAGCGATTACTCAGTCACAGAAATGCCCTAGATGCCTACTTGTTAAGCAAAGAAGACATCTAGGGCTTGATTCAAGCAAAGTAGCGCAATGGTGAAACAAAACTCTACGGAGACAGAGAGTCTATCGTAAAGTTTGCTTGAGAATTAAATTAATGTATGAACTGAACAAAAAAAATAGTAGTCAAGAATTCAATGACGTCGAGCAAGTAATAAACAACAATCCCAAGTTTGTTAATGTTTCTGTCCGGATTGGACGTGAGCTTCAAATTCATTTCATACTTATAATTCAGTGGAGCTACTACAAGTAGCTTCCAAATGAAGCCTCTCAGAAATTTTGAGATTTGATGCCTAATCAAATACAACCAAACATAATTGAACATGCTAACTATAACTATTCCTTGTATAAATCGAGCCTTTTCCCTTTCAAAAACAAATTGTTTGAGATGTAGAATGCGACAATAACTAAAAAACTTTTTGGTTATTTAAAATTCTTTAAGATAAAATCGAAGAGAAATTAAGTTTAGAAATGTCACCACTTAGAGAACTGGCATGGGACTGGCCATTCTCTTTTTGATCGGTTTTCCAGCTATGCCCCTTCAAAAAATTTAGGTGACCCTCCGAATACTCAGGTGGCTCTTTTAAGTTTCTCGCCTGCCCGTTAATGTTCACTTTTGTAATCAAAATACGTTTATTAATTCTGCAATCCAGTAGTGTACTATTCACTGTATCCTCGGATAAGAACAAAGAAATAATTGCTTTTCTAATATATAAACTGAAATTTGTATTATATCTGATAAATAACCGGCCAAAACTCTAGCAGTAAGGATGAGTTTATGAAACAGTGATATATAAGTGTTCTACGAGGATTTTCAAAAGATTAACAGATTATTACGGTATAGTATGTAATCCTAAATGTTATGGAGTTTACTCTCTGTACAAAAGTGACAACAGATTATCCTCGGCTCAGAAACCGAGAGTCACTCGCTCTGATGTGATTTGCCTATGGAGATCGTACGTTCCTCTTTCAAGTCAGATTCAATAGTCCTAAGGCCTCTAATATTTCGCTTGTTCTCCTATGTTCTACTCGATAATTCGGTTCTTGCACAACCCTACATAT